ATTTTACGTCAAATGATTGGACACTTTGATAGAACACTTATCTTCTATCTGGTCGACCTCTTTCCTTATCCGGTCGACCATTTTGTTAATTACTGCCATCAAGTGGTCGACCTATATATTAGGTGGTCGACCATGTTGTTTCTGACGCCAACGAAATGGCCGACCGAGGTTTTATTCTGGTCGACCAAAAATACCAACTTAAACTAAATGCGGTCGACCGGGTGGTCGTGGCGGTCGACCGCAACGCTTTCTCGTGATGCCCAAATTGGTCAATTCGGTCGACCTCCCTCAGGAATAGGTCGACCGAAAAGTGCATGTCACCGTGACATGCATGTCATAGTAGGCATACCCTATAATTTTAAATGACAAAACACACTTAGTTTGAAATGGATGAGTACAGATAAGAACTTAAAGTTAAACGTGTTTAGGTTAGAGCAAAGCAGATATGGATTTCCTTTTGGAGAGTCACCATGGTGCATCTAAAAGCAAAAACATGGGAGACTTGACCTATAGTGGATAATCTCTTCATCATAGAAAAGGAGGGAATGTTACATTGAATTACATTGGCAAACTAAAAAAAGTTAAAAAGAGATGGTCACAATCAGATTTTGCTTGTAATGTAATTTTAAGGCAAAAATATACACCAAAACTTTTACTTTTGTGTCAAGTATAACTAATTCTTTTATGGATGAGAAATGGGTTATGGGTATACTACTATGCAATCTTTTTAAGTATGTCCCTTTATAATTTTACTTTATGTCTTCAAAGGAAAACATAAATTCTTTTCATTCTTTTTTGATGATGGGTGTGAATATGTTTCATGAAAATTAGAATAACTAAGCCGCAATTTTTTTTTTTACTGTTACAGGTTAGTAAAATACTTTACGAGTAAGTTACGCATAAGATATGTATCAATATTTTACTTCATTTTTAAACAAATGGTACGTCGAATAGTGCGTCAATATTCATAAAATATATGAAATTAATTATTTTAAAAAATAAATATTTGTTTAAGTATTATTTCAATTATAAATTAATTCATTAAATACAATATTACACATTATATGACTTTTGTACGTGTTTAGTAGATGAGCCATCAATTGAACGAGTAAATATGAAACTGTCGCGCAATAATACAAAAATGAAAGTTTTAAATGCATATAATACGTATGTCAATAAATATGCATATTAAATGGAGTATGTACTAACTATGGCACGCGATCATAATGAGGTTCTTTTTTAAGCCGGGTTTCTATTCCTAAAAGGTTTCTTTGAATTCGATGAGACTGTGTGTACTTTTCCGCATGCGAACTCAATGGTGGCTGGTCGAGCATCTTATTTGTTTACTCTCATTATAATTCCATGCCTCGTCTGTACTTTAACGCATGTGAATGCATAGCGTCTTCCCAATCATCTCAATATTTTACTCTCTTTACATCCCGAGCATCTTAATGTTGTTTTACAGTCTTCATACAAAGGATTGTACGACATTGTTGCCCATTAGGCTGGCGAAGAAAACGAAAAAACGATCCTTCTGCTCCAATCATGATTGAGATTGGAGGGAGCTCATTTCTATATTATCTTCTTCTCCTCTTCCAATGATGAGATCAATTACAAATAATAGATAATTATGTTAGAGAGAATTCACTCAAAGTATATGAGCGAGGAGAATGGCCAGCTATGGAATAATGGTAGCGAAGTTATGAAGGATAAGTAGCTTAGTTATACTTCCAGATGTCGTGAAAGCAGTCACATGGCTTGCAAGTGAGAAGTCTTAATTATTCTAATTACACAAATTAAGGGAATCGAATCATCTTTGAAAGTTATTAATATATCTTCTACGCACAGAAACTAGATTATCTGCATTTTGAATAGTTTTAGGGGTATTATGTCATTATTTTAAAGCTAGAAGCTAAAGTTATGTTTATTTTTTCACCGTCATACCAATGGTGGCTGAGGTACTAGTAAAAGGTGGAGCACTTCTACTATACTATATAGTATTGGTGTTTTAATGTACAACTTAAAGTTGTACCATAACATTAAATGTATAAGTTTAGGTTGTACCATAAAGCAATTTGTACCATTATATTATGGTACAATTTTACAACTTGAAGTTGTACCATCACATAAAGGTACAAGTTCAAGTTGTATCATAAAAGAATTTGTACAAAAAGTATAGGTACAATCTGAAATTGTACCATAACGTAAATGTACAATTTTAAGTTGTACCATAAATACAAAAAACCTATAGCACCAACACTATATAGCATTGTAAAATTTCTCGTAAAATGTGGGGTTAGTACCTAACCATACTTTCTTAGCCAGGTGAGAATCAAGAATAATAGAGAATCATATTCACTATAAATTCATTATTTATTTGAGATTCGCTTTAAGAATAATATTTTTTTAATGAGTCAGTTGGATAAGAAGTTCTCCTCCAAGTGCTTTGGCAAGTATCTAAATCTTAGGGTTAACTTGCCTTGGTGGGCAAAAAAATTCATCATACAGGAGAAGGAAATCATAATTGGATCACATTATAGTTTATGACATGAAATACCCTTACTTACATGATCATGCATTCACCTCGATGGATTTTTTTTTCTAGAAAAATTTAGTATAGTGATTTTTTTTTTGTTTTGTCTCTCTTATGCTGGCATGGATGCAATCAAGTGCTCACACTTTGTTTTTCTACTACTCCAATCTTTTTCAAATGTAACCATCACATAACGCTCTGTGAACGAGTTAATGGTAAATTTTTAGTGTTTATGATTTTATAACGATGCCCAATTGAAAATTATACGCATTTGAGATGAGGAAGAACTATGTTAGATAAAAACTTGGATAATTATGGTACACTTACATTATAAGAAGATACTGTGAGAACATTTTGACGACTTTCCTATTTGTTTCTTGATGACTATTTTATGAGAACTTCTTTTCGGCTCAAGATAGGGTGCATAACCATGGGTTATGCACCCATCAATAACCAAATCTGGACCCTTCATTTAGAAAATCCAGATCTAAGGATGGAGAATTAAAGACTATTTTTATTTTCACTAGCTTTCTTAATTGACTCATATCTTTTTCGTTTTAACTCGGATTTTAATTTTTTTTGCATAGATGGAACGAGTTCACCGTGCTCTACAAAATGAGATCAATTTTCAATATTTTTTGAGGAAAAAATTCTGGCCTCTCGGTACCAACTGCATACCATATGGTATTTTCTTCGTTTTTAATTCGTTTTTGAAAACGTTTGCACAGCAGGGACGAGTTCATCATGATCTACTGGATCTACAAATTTCTGGGTGAACAAGATACAGGACCAAAAAATACCACACAATACCATACAATACCACCCTGATACGGGGTGGTATTGTATGGTATCTTGTTCGTTTTTAATTCGTTTTTGAAAACGTTTGCACAGAAGGGACGAGTTCATCATGATCTATTGGATCTACAAATTTCTGGGTGAACAAATTACAGGACCAAAAAATACCACACAATACCATACAATACCACCCTGGTACGGGGTGGTATTGTGTGGTATACAATGTTAAAAGTCGTAAATTACAATTAATATACTTCTACTATCATGTATTCAACCATCCTACAGTATTGGTTTGTTCATACCACCATGGTATGTTTTTCAAAACATAGGTATGCTTTTATTTCAATACCAGTCAATACCATATGGTATAGGCTGGTAAAAAATGACTCAATTTTTTTTGTTCGAAAAATATATTAAAGTGGATATCATTTTGAAGAGCACAATTAATCTAATCTAACTGTGCAAAAAAATTTAAATTTCGACTTAAAATGAGCGAGAAATCGTCCGTCAAAAATTAAAGAGGGAAAAATTAAAGGCTTTCTATGAGAGAGAGGATGCTGATGTCATGCTGATGTGGACGGGTTACTCATGATTACTCACTATAAGGTTACTTACCTGATCCATTCCCATTCTTTTCTACGTATAAAAAATTCATCCTTATTTAAATTACTAACAATGCATTAAACAAAGTATTTGGATAGTAAATCCGTTAAGAAAGTCTTGAAGTCCTTGACAAAGACAAAGTATTAAGAAAATATTAGGGTAAATATCCTAATATGGCCCAAACTTTGTCTAAATAGACAATTTTGGCCCCAACTTACAATAATGACACAATTGGCCCAAACTTTAAAAATAATAGACAGCTTTGGCCTAATTCTACATTAATACTAACGGTCAACTCAGTTAACAGGTAATGACTCAGCATGAGTTGCTGACATGGCGGCCACGTGTACTCCACATCAGACAAAAATAAAATAAAATAAAATAAAATGAAACCATCAAAGTCGTTCCAGAAAACTTTTCGTATTCCTCTCTTTCAAGAATCCCTTTGAAGCCTTATTCATATTAACTTCCCCAACACGCCTCATGACGATTTGCAGCCGGCAGTTTTGAACCCGCCGCCAGTTTCGCTTCCGAACCCGCCGCCAACTTCTTCATCTTCTACCATTTGCCATCCTCTTCCCAAATCGACCACCCTGTAGCGACCATTGCCATCACTTTCGTCATTCCTCAAACCTCCTTATCCTCAATTGGCGACAAGAGGCAACAAGCTTTAAGGTAGAAATCATTTTGGAGTCTCGCTTTCGTGGTTCTTCTGGCTTCGCTCTTCGGCTTGTTGGTGTTTTAAAGGCCACGAGAGGCTGCGGGGGACTATTTCAACGAAGGGCCACTTGGACTGGGGACCACCACTATAAAGTTCGGTTGTATCCTTCATCAAGGATTCAAGTTTCAAGGTATACCAATTTATAGCTCTTTGCTTGTGCTTTTTGTGAAACACTTGAATAAACAATGTTTTGTCTTTGTTTGGTTGTGGATTAAGTTAATTGAAAGATACTAGTAGTGAGTAGTGACTTAGCAGCTTATCAACCTTGACTTTTAGCTATTCGTTTCTTTCCTTTGCTGCCCATTATTTGGATGCTAACTAGTCTACGTACCCATATATATTTGCAGGATGGGTGACACTATTCAGCTTGTCCTTACTCATGGAGGGGCGATGAATATGTTGACTGAGGTACCACAATATGTTGGTGGAGTTAGAGATGTGGTAAATTGTGATCGCGATGTTCTTTCATACTTTGAGATTGTGAAGACGCTAATAGAAGATTTCGGGTACTTATCGGTGGAAAGAGTGTGGTACTTAACCCCGGGAGAAAGCATGACAAGTGGGTTGCATGAAATATGCACCGATGCTGATGTTATTAATGGTTTACTAGGAGATGCGGAGAAAGGAGAGTTGGTATTGTTCTTTGATGCCACGAAAGATCTTGGCGAGTTTGCAGAGAACTATGGACATAATAATGATGGCAGCGATGATGAAAGTGAAAACTCAGCCATAGAAGAGTTTTTGCGCTTAGATGATGATGGAACTCAGACATCTGATGAAGAGTATCATGAAATTAGGGCCAATGTACGTCGTTTGAGAAAAGATACTAGATTGAAATACTATGGAACAAGAGAAGATGTAGATAAGATATTTGAAGAAGACAATGAGCCAATTGATAATGCTGGGGATAATGGAAATGTCAGGAAGAAGGGAAATGTAATACCAACTTATGATGGGAATTACAACTCAGGGAAGGATGGGAATTACAACTCAGCTGCTAGTTTGGAGGAGGATGTGGATGAATTGTCTATGGAGAAATATCTCTTTTATGATCCAAATTGTGATCATGAAACTTTGAATTTCATAGTTCACATGCGATTTGCTAGTCCTAAGCAATTTCAGGAGGCGATAATCAAGCATTCAATTGCAATTGGCGCTGATATTAGATGGATAAGGAGCAGCGAGAGAAGAAAAGAAGCTGTATGCGCCAATAAGTGTGGGTGGCGAGTTTATGCAAGTTGGTTTGGCAAAAGAGAAACTTTTATGGTAAAAGGGTTTGGAATTGAACATAGTTGTCCCCGTTCACTTCACAAATTGCGTCAGACCTATATTGGGAAGCTGTTTACTCAACTAATTATCCAGATTGGAAGGCTGCCACGGATCAAATGAAGGGTCTTGAAGGGAATGTTTTTGCAGATTTTATGGCTACAGAGCCCCAACGATTTTGTCATGAATTTAAGGGTTTGGGATTTAGAATTTACCGTCCAAAATTATCTTACTATCCTTTTCTATTTCTTGGTCATGTTTATGATATGTACACAAAACAAGCACAAAACGTACTATTACTAATAAACATAATGTTGCCACAAGGACAATAATAATAAATGATAAACTTTCGTTTAAATTTTAACGTGACATATATCAGTTATCAATTCTTTATCCATCTTTTCAAAAGTAACATATAACAACATATATTAGAAACAGGAGAATAAAGAATTTCACGTTTCATAAAAAGGTCAAAGGCAATGTAGTCAAAAGCGTGTTTCTATGTAGAAGCGCTTTGGTGATCTAGAAGCGTAAAATCATAAGCCTTTAAGGTTTAAAGCGTAGTTTTTAACTACATTAGTTATAAAAATGGAGATTATGCGTTAAAGCGTTTTGATAACCTAAAAGCGTAAAATCTTAAGTTTTTAAGTTTTAAAACGCGATTTTGACAGCATTGGTCAAAGGAAACTGGAACACAAGGAAAGACATAGAAATCTAACTCATGTTTGTACATTAATTGAATTTCTATATTATTTTTTTGTTGTTAACTAATTGATTAATAATAAAGTATAATATGTAGATGTGGGACAACCTTGGAATATCTCAAGTTCATGAGGGTGTACTGGTGAAATTCTATCATGGATTTATGGCATGTTACAAATCCTACATCAATATGTGGGATTTACAAGTCTTTGGGGTCCACGGATTTATGGCTACAGAGCCCCAACGATTTTGTCATGAATTTAAGGGTTTGGGATTTAGAATTTACCGTCCAAAATTATCTTACTATCCTTTTCTATTTCTTGGTCATGTTTATGATATGTACACAAAACAAGCACAAAACGTACTATTACTAATAAACATAATGTTGCCACAAGGACAATAATAATAAATGATAAACTTTCGTTTAAATTTTAACGTGACATATATCAGTTATCAATTCTTTATCCATCTTTTCAAAAGTAACATATAACAACATATATTAGAACCAGGAGAATAAAGAATTTCACGTTTCATGAAAAGGTCAAAGGCAATGTAGTCAAAAGCGTGTTTCTATGTAGAAGCGCTTTGGTGATCTAGAAGCGTAAAATCATAAGCCTTTAAGGTTTAAAGCGTAGTTTTTAACTACATTAGTTATAAAAATGGAGATTATGCGTTAAAGCGTTTTGGTAACCTAAAAGCGTAAAATCTTAAGTTTTTAAGCTTTAAAACACGATTTTGACAGCATTGGTCAAAGGAAACTGGAACACAAGGAAAGACATAGAAATCTAACTCATGTTTGTACATTAATTGAATTTCTATATTATTTTTTTGTTGTTAACTAATTGATTAATAATAAAGTATAATATGTAGATGTGGGACAACCTTGGAATATCTCAAGTTCATGAGGGTGTACTGGTAAAATTCTATCATGGATTTATGGCATGTTACAAATCCTACATCAATATGTGGGATTTACAAGTCTTTGGGGTCCACGGATTTATACCCTTGAAATCTGTGGGGCCCAAAGATTTGGTCTCTAAAAAGTGTAAGCAAACAATGGATTTCCCTTAAATCCATGATGGATTGGATTTGGGTAACAAATCCATCATTCAAATCCATGAAGCAAACGACCCATAATTTTTTAATTTAATTTAATTTTTTTTGAAGAGGACACTCCTATAATTATTTTTGGATCCGCCACTAGATAGGGTGATCCGGGATCGGTTTCCTTTGCAGTAAAATCTGGAGGTGGTATATTCAACCTCTGTCATCTGTATGTGGGATGGTGCGGTACCTGCTGACTCACATTTAGTGGGAGGGCTGATCTTAGCAAGAGGAATGGTTCTTGAAAACAATGTTGACCCTCTTGTAGTAGAGACTATTGTCAGAATCTTGGCGTTGCTCAAGTTCGGTTTGAAGGTGATGCGAAGGTGCTCATTGATAAGATTAATGCCAAGGATGCGTAAGACAGCCGTGTTAGGGCTATTATCCAGGAGATTCTGCATATGATGACTCTGAATAGTGATTTTCATGTTTGATTTGCGGGTCAGATTAGCAATAGGGTAGCACATTCACTTGTTACCTTTCTTTTCCTCCGGCTTCGTGTCGATTATTTGATTTTCGTGCCTGAGTTGGGTCCAGAATGTAATTCATGATCTTTTTATGAATCAATATGAGTTTAGGGAAAAGGGGGCGATGGTATGGGGGAGAGATAGAGGGAAGGGGAGGGACTAGGATTTTGGGTGGGAGGGAAGAGAGTGGGGAGACAAGAGGGAGAGTGGGGGGTGGGTTTGTGAGAAATAAATAAATAAATAATAGGAGAGATCACATGTGGTATTATTTTTGTTCCAAAAACTTCATGTGATCTTGTCCATTAACTTAAATAACGCAGTAAAAAGAATGAATATAATGGCTAGAAGGTGGGTTGTGAAAATGACAACCTCCTTAGGGGTTTTGCATCGGATCTCATCCCCCACTCCTCTTGTTTTGTTCACAAGTCGGATAATCTTTGCTAGAAATATACCAAAATGAATCCAACTCAGCGAATCAAAATAAAACTATGACAAAATACACTTTCATAGCCACAACTTCCACGTTTGTGACAAATATAGCCACAACTATCGAAATACATAAAATAGCCAGAATTTTGAAAGATTTATGACAAATCTAGCCATTTCCGTTACAAACTTTAACAGTGTCACGTCATATTTGTTTAAAAATAAATGAAAATTTATACATTAATGTTTTTTATAAACGCAAAATATTTTATTAAACCCAATAAAAATTAAAAAAATTATATACACTAATTTCTCCTTCATCTTTCCCACCACCCACCATCGTAACCTCCCTGCCGACTTTCTCTGGATAAGCGCTGCTCACCAACGCCGCCAGGTCATCGACGAAATTCTCCCAATTATTAGGGGCCCGCAACACAACCTTTACCACCGATCTCCTCCATGATCTCCACTGGCGCAGAGAGGGAGGTGCAAGGATCGGATCGGCGTTGGAATCCTCTCTCCTTCATAACGACCATAGGAAGGACTACTAGCAGCGACGACAAGGGTCGATGACTGGGGTGACTAGCTGCGACGGCGACTTCGATTGAAGCTGTGCCTCTTCTGGGAACGACGACATCGTTGGTGATGAGTTGCTCTGCCTCTCAAAAGACGTTTCTTCAAGATCTGAGTATTTTGAACTATGGTTAAGTAGTTTGGGAGGATGGAAGGGTTGCAACAAGAAGAACGAAAGGCAGAAGGAGTTTTGATAGAGAAGAAGTGAAGAAATCGACTTTTTTGGTGATGATTCAGCGAAGAGATTTCGGGAACAGAGTTAGCTGGTCGCGTCTATTTATTTTCGCAATTGAGATGGTGGGGGAAGGTGGGATCGCGTGAGAAGAAGGGGAAATGTAATGGGTATTTGCGTTTTTATGTTTATGTTTTTGTTTATGTTTTTTAATTCACTTAGATTGGTGGGACTAAATTATCGCCGACTCAACATTTCTGTCTGTCTAGTCACATTGGTAATTGACACCATTAAATTGATGGACGAAAATGACTATTTTATGTATTTCGACAGTTGAGGTTATATTTGTCAAAAATGTGAAAGTTGTGGCATGAAAGTGTATTTTGCCTAATAATAATATCATACATGTCATGAACTATGTATTTGCTTAGCTTCCTGAGAACTATGTTAAAATTTTGTAAATAGTAGTTATACTTCTATTGGATGAAGTTGTGTTTAACATTTTATGACTTCAAAACTGTATGAGAATATAGTTAGTGTTGTATTTGTTAAATACATGCATTGTCTACAATGCAACGTTTGGAAGTGTCAAGTTGCAAAACAATGCATGTATTGTTTTGTGTGGGTCCCACCAACAATCAACAAAAATGAGGGATTGTACAATCTCAACTAAAAGTTGAGATTGTTGTGATTGTTGGTTTAATAATTAAGCACCTCTACCTTTTCCAATAATGTCCATAGTTCTTTTTGTTTTATATTAAAAGTGAAGGACAAATATGACATTTCCTTATAAAGTAACTTTATAACAATCAATTCATAAATTATAATCTTAACAACCAAACAATGTAATTTCAAAATGCATCTATTATATCACTGCATGCATTTATATCATAGTGATTCGTAATAATACAACGATTTAACATACGCAACTTCCAAACGACCTCATAATTAATAGTTTGAAAAATAAAGTACTAGGGTGTATGCGCTATCTGTTCTTTTATATTATAATTTATGTTGTATCTTGGAGTGATCCAAATATTTTAAGTGATCTAAAAATATGTGCATGACGCCATAAAACACCCACTTATATTATTGGCACTAATCAACTAGGCAACAATAGGAATTTGTTCATCTTTTATGAGAATCAAATTAAGAAATATGGTTCAAGGTAGGGGTGGGCATTGGTGTGGACAAACCGCTCCGAACCGCACCAAACCGCTTTTGCGGTCAATCCAACCCGCACCATAAAGCTTGCGGTCTCACTTGCGGTCCAACTATTAAGCGGTTCATGGTTTGCGGTTTGAAGCGACCGAAACCGCGCGGTTGTGGTTCAACACCGCAAACCGCTAAAATGTCACTCAAAGTTGTCATCCACTATTGGCGCAACAGATTTCCACCGCCGTTCCCCAACGTTCCCGCATTTCTCTAACTATCTATTCTCGCCGCCTTCCCCAGCTTCTCGTTCCCTCTTGAAGATCCCTCTCATAATATGTTTTCAGTTTTCACTGCCTTCCCAACTTCCGAATCCCTCTCACAGTTGTTATGGTTTCTGTAATGGTTAATGGTTTTACTTGTCAGTTGCCCGTACAAGTACACGCATAACTAAGCTGTCTATAATGGATGGCATTTTCTTGCCACTATAATTCCTTTTGGCAGTAGTCATCACTCATCAGGAGCTG